CGCCGCTGCCAACTTCTTCTTGCTGCTGCCTGGGCTGGGGTATTTATGGTAAGGTAGCCACGACGGCGGCGGCGGGTCCATGTCAGGTAATCTGAGGCGAGTTGCTGCTGGCGCTGCCGCCCAAACAACGCCGCTTGCCCGGAGGAGGAGGAGGACAGAGAGGCGAGGAAAATGCAACATGGCCCAGCAGCTGCAGCAGCGGCGGCGGCAGCGGGGCTGTGAGGAGGGGCTGCCTGGCGTGCCCTCCGCGGCCCTGACGCACGGGGACCGCGGCAAGCGCTGAGAGCCGCTGCCAGCTCGTCGGTTCCGCGAGACATGGGGCTCTGCTACAGCCTGTGCCCGAGGCTCTTCGGCGACTCCAGAGGTGGCGAGCGCGCCCCCCCAGATGTTGCGCCCGGTGCGGCCGGCCCCCCCTGCACCCCCCACACTACGCCACTGTTTGTTAAGGGTGCTGAGCGTTGTTAAGGAATCCCTCTGCCACCTCACAAAGCTACAATTCTCAGAGTGGTTTACCAATCAATCCCGCATCCCAGCAAAATCTGGGAGTTGTAGCTTTGGGAGGGGAATGTGGTCTCCTAACAATGCTCTGCACCCTTAACAAACTACAATTCCCAGGATACTTTGGGGGAAACCCATGACTGTCTAATATGGCATGATCCTGCTTTAAATGTATAATGCTGATGTGGGCTTAATATTGGGATGACATTGTTCTGCCCGGACACTGAGGCCCAGCTCTGAGGGCCTTCTGGCAGTTCCCACACTGAGAGAAGTGAGGTTGCAGGGAACCAGGCAGAGGGCCTTCTCGGTAGTGGCTCCCGCCCTGTGGAACGCCCTCCCACCAGATTCCAAGGAAATAAACAAGTATCTGACTTTTAGAATACATCTGAAGGCAGTCCTGTTTAGGGAACTTTAGGGAAGATTTTAATGTTTGATGCTTTATTGTGTTTTTAATATGCTGTTGGAAGCTGCCCAGAGTGGCTGGGGAGGCCTGGCCAGATGGGTAGGGTATAAGTAAGAAGAAGAAGAAGAAGAAGAAGAAGAAGAAGAAGAAGAAGAAGAAGAAGAAGAAGAAGAAGAAGAAGAAAGAAGAAGCAGCAATGCCTTAAGTCTTTTCAGGTGGTTCTTCATCCTCTAAGATTTTTAAAGTGGTGGGAGGAGCATTTTGGGAACAGGTCTTAGGACAGGAGTTCATTACCTCTTCCCTACACTTCTAAGTATATGAGACTAGTGAATGAATGAATGAATGAATGAATGAATGAATGAATGAATGAATTGGGAAGGAGTAACTGCTTGCAGCTTCTGTCTCACAGAGTCAGATGGCCCCAAAGTAAAGGCACCTGCTGAGTGAGCAAGATGCAGGTGATTGTCCTTTCCTGTAATGGCTGTGATGTTCGCAGACTTCAGAAGCTGCACTCTGCAGGGAAAGGCGTTTCTGTGTGGCTGGCTGGGTGCAAAAAGCCTCCCGTATCTAACTGATGGTTTCAAATTTACGAGGAAGGACCATAGCTCAGTAACAGAGCGCATGCTTTGCAAGCAAATAGCCCAAGGTTCAATCCCTAGTATCTCCAGGTAGGGCTGTGTGTGTGTGTGTGTGTGTGTGTGTGTTCCTCTCTGAAGCCATCGAGAGCTGCTGCCAGTCAGTGCCGGTGATACTAAACTAGATGGACCGTCAGGAACCAGCTGGATGAGGAAGAGTGGTGGGAGCTGCCCACCCAAGAGCTCCCCAGGGAGGACACAGAAGACAATGTGTTTAGATCCCGGATCCTGTTGGTGGGACACTGAAGAGCAGTCTGCAAAAGGGATGAGCTGGGAGTTGCTAGAAGCAAGGGGGTTGAGCAATCAATGGGTTGGTCATGAGAAAGAGGGCCTTTCGGAAGAGGGTTAGAGGCTGAGAGTCACAGTGTGAACACAGACTCAGGCTGAGAGGAGTCAGAGGTTGTCCTTGCTTCCCAGAAGCAGGACAGCCCCAGTCCTGGTGGCTTTTGTCCCCCTCTGACACCCCAATCAAGGAGAGCCCTGCACATTGCTGAGCAGTAGGTCAGATAGGCTCAGAGGAGGAGCCCAACCCCTCTTTGCAGCCTTTGGAGGGATCCAGAGGTAGACACAAGAGGGGCAAGGGGTCAGTTTCAGACTAAAGTCATGGTGTTTTCAAGGAACTATAGGGACCATAGATGGTATATGGAAAATCATTTGACTGAACAAGTTAAAATCTTTAAATAACCTTATTTTTCAGTCAACAGGGTCATGGAGAGCACATCAGAAATATGCAAAGGAACAAGCATCTCACAGTGCCAAAATTCTGACACGCTTTTTCCATATGAAAGGTGGCAGTCATATCTCATCAGCCCTTGAAGTGTGTAAAGCTAAACCCCTAGCACAGTTTTTATATGGGGCTCAGATTTGGACAGGCGCTCACCTTGGAACTACAGAAGCTTTTCAATCTTAAGTTCCTAAGGCAATTTTTTCCTGTTCCATCCAGTGTTCCAAATGCTTCATTGCGCTTGGAGGCTAATCTCCCCTCTGTTGAATTACAGATTTGGTGTAGGACATTTAATTATTGGCTTCGGCTAAATTTAAACCCCACCGGTCTACTACCCTTAGTATCGCAAGATTGCCATGAGAGCACTTGGACTAAAATTGTCAACCAAAAGTTTTACTTTTCTGGTTTATCACCACAACAGTTATTAACCCTGGGCTTCAGTAAAGCAAATAATTTAATTAGACAGTGCCTATATGATAACGAGAGACAGAATAATTTGGCCATGATGAGGAAATTTTGTCCATGGAATGATTATTTTCCACCTAGTTATTTTGACACGTTGGCACCCTCTTTGCAAAATTTAACAATTCCAAAATAAACATGCACTTTCACTTGCACAAGATTAAATATCTTGCCTTCAGCTGTACTTGAGGGTCGATTTCAAAAAATTCTCCTGGAAAAACAGTAATGTCCATGTGGAGATGGCTGTATTGAGTCAGTGGTTCATGTGCTTCTAGCTTGCACTCTTTATAAAGATTTGAGGGGTGAGGTTATTACCCTTCTATTACTATCCATACCAGGTCATTCAACCATTGCTTCTGTGTCATTTCTTCTAGCAGATCAAGATAATCAGCTGACAGCAAAAACTGCAATTTTTTTAGCAGGGACAATTAAAATAAGATCTATTATTTATTGATGTAAACTTTTACCTCTGTCTCCAGTATATTTTATTTTATTTTATTGCTATGGCTAGTGACTGATGCAAATAAAGATTCTTCTTCTGGTCAGTTTCAGCAGTGTCTCAACTGGATTAAGGGGAGCCAGAGGACTCTGCTGTGTTGTTATTTTCTGCTAATAAAAAGCTAATTCTCTGCCTCCCATGTGCGTACCTGCCCTGTGGTTGACCTGGCTCACTTGTAAGCTCCTTCACATGGACTGATGGTCTTACTTGGTATCAGGCAACTTCCTATAAGATGTGAACTTTATCCTTCCATACCTCTGGGGGAGGGTTGTAGCCCTATGGTAGAACACCTGCTTTTCATGCAGAAGGTCCCAGGTTCAGTTCCCAGCATCTCCTGCCATCTCTCCTCTCTGAAATCTTACAGTCCCACTGCCAGTTGAAGCTAGATGGAACCATTGGTATGACTCAGAATAAGGCAGTTCCCTGTGTTCCTTGTACCACTGTAGTCCCTTGTCCATATAATTCTTCCTTCCACTTCTTAAGCCACAAGTTTAACATGAGTCAACAGCATGATACAGAAGCAAGAAAAGGCTAATACTGTTCTAGGATGCCTCGACAAAAGTATAGTGTCCAGATCAAGAGAAGTAATAGTGCCACTCTGTTCTGCCTTGATCAGAAGTACTGTGTCCAGTTTGGGGCAGCACAATTTAAGAAGGATGTTGACAAGCTGGAATGTGTTCAGAGGAGGGCAACCAAAGATGCTCAAGGATCTGGAAACCAAGGATTATAAGGAACAGTTGAGGGAGCTGAGTATGGCTAGCCTGGAGAAGAGAAGACTGAGAGGTGATATGATATCCATATCTGAAGACCTGCCAAGAAAGGTGATTCCAACTAAACATTAGGAAGAACTTTCTGAGAGTAAGAGTTGTTTGACAGTGGAGCAGACTTCCTCAGAAGGTGGTGAACTCTCCTTCCTTGGAGGTTTTTAAAGAGAGGTGGGATGGCTATGTGTCAGGGGTTCTTTAGCTGTGATTCCTGCATTGTAGGGGTTTGGATTGGATGGTCCTCAGGGTCCCTTGCAACTCTACAATTCCATGTTTTATGTCTCTTGTTTGCTCACATTCCTCTGAGCCTTCTTGTCCAAGGCTTCATTCCTAGCCTCTTGCTATCTTCTCAGGCTACTGCCCCCTCCTTTCCTGCCTCTTCCTCACCCCCCTTTCCCTAGGCACTTTTCAGCTGTTGTGCCCCCAGAAACCTCAGACGGTGTAGCTACAGACCCCTTTGCTTGTTCCATTCCACCATAGGGCAACTTAGCCCTTATTAGTGCCAGAGGAAGTGAGGGTTTGAGGGCACACACAGAAAAGAATAATTCATGAATCAAAAAGGCTCTTCTTGACCCCCTTCACTGGGTAAAATTGAATAGTTAAGAGCAACATATTTTATTAACAAGAATTGACAAACAGTACTGCAGACTTCTTCCTGGCACATCGTTGAATATTGAGATTGATGTTAAACGCCTTCTGCTTTTTTTAAAAAAAGCAAAAACAAAACAAAAACAAAAAAAACACCTTTCTACAAGCAAGCAAAACGCAGCATTTCTTTCTCGTCTGCTGCAATGCAACAATTTGAGTGGACAGATTGGATTTGTATAGGACCCGCCTTGAAAGCAGCCTTCTTATTCAGGCCACAGAGAAGAAGAAGAAGAAAAGCAACCCTCCTCTCATGTTGCCATCTTGAAATGTGTGGTTACTGATTCCACTTGCTTGCAGCCTCCATTTTTATTCCCTTTCCCACTCACCTTCCATCTGTTATGGGTTTGTTTCTTTCTTTGTTTTGCAGCCGCCATTTTGGACGACCCAATGGAGTGCAGCAGAGGCGAACGGCTCTCTATCACCCTGGCCAAGAATCGGATAAATCGAGCTCCGGAGCGGGCGGGGAAAGCCAAAGTGGAGGTGGACATTTTCGAGCTGCTGAGAGACAGCGAATATGAAACAGCCGAGACCAGTATGTATGTCTCTTTGACCTGGGTTTTGTTAGCAGTGCTCAATTTCTAAGAAGTAATAACAATAATGGTAATAACTGGAAGTGTCAGCTACTGAATTAGAGATCCTACCTTTGTGCAGATGTCTTACTGCTGTTTCTGGGGTTTTCTGTTGCAAATTCATGGTTCTCTCCCCCGCCCCTTTCCCATTTATTCTCATGACAACCCTGTGAGGTAGGTTAGACTAAAAGGTATTGGCTGGTCTAGGGTCATCCAGTGAGCTTCATGGCAGATTTGAACACCACACCACCCTTGCTCTCAGTTCCTGCTTGGATAAAGAACTAGGAAAAAGAGTTCCATGTGGAGAGAGATTGCTAAGCACTCTGTGAATTGTAGCTCTGTGAGGAGACTCCTAACAGCTCTCAGCCCCTTAAACTACAGCTCCTGGAATACTTTGCAGGGAAACTGAAATATACTCGGAGTCAAGAGTGGATTTCATGCTCTTTATTCAGCTCATAGTGGTGAGGAGGAATGGAATTTCCCCCAGAATGTCTGCCTTATATACATTATTTACACAATGGGCCCCACGTGATTGGCTGATTCCAGGATTCTCCTGTAGGCCAATCAGGTCGTGGGTTCTCTTCCACCTGGAGCTGGATTGGGTGGCTCCTGCGGACCAATCAGACTGCTGCATTCTGAAGTCTATTGTTCTAGGACCAGTCAGACTGCTGCATTCTGAATCCTATTGTTCTAGGACCAAACAGACTGCTGCATTCTGAATCCTATTGTTCTAGGACCAAACAGACTGCTGCATTTTGGATCCTATTCAATTCAGTACATAACAGAAACCTTGACTGTTTGGAGTGGTATCACAGTGCTTTGAATGTGTGGTGTGAATGCGGCTCAATTTTTTCCTTGTCTTGTTCCCGTGAGACATTTGGGCTGGACTTGATGACCCCCAGGGTCCCTCCCTACAGTTCTATGATTCATGGTCCCTCCTATGCATTGCATTCAGAAAGAGACGTTCCTCTGCATCCTTATTGCCATAAGAAATCTAATTGGAACCAACGGGATTACTCACAAATAGTAAGCGTTGTGCTTGATTGTAGGCTCCAAGAAGATCAGGACTCACATTAGTAACACTGCATGTCTCTTTAGCTGTGACAGTGCCCTCAAGACATTGGCCTGTGATAATTACCTAAAGTGTGTAATGGGGTTTGATAATGGCCTAGCAGGATGGCTGTGCTCCTGACGCTGAGCCCCTCTCTCAATTTATGAAGCACACGTGAGTAAAGACCGTAAAATTTCCATCATGCTCCTGGCTTGCTGCACGGGGCACTTCCAGAGCAGGAACATTGGTTAGGGTATTAAAATACATTAGCTAGCATTTATCAATTAACACGCTGTAAACACCACTTTGCACCTCGTTATAAAGGCACGAATGTTTGCAATACCTCTTGGGTCTCATGCTTTATAATCCTGGCGATTCTCTTCTTGGAATTCCCACACATAGACTCGTCACATTTACAGGATTTCTCTGGTTTTAGCACATGTAACGCACATGAATCTCAGCTTTCGTCTTGTTGTTTAAAGTTAGCTTTTAGCATTGTCAGGTGTGAAATATATATAAAATACTGCCTGCTGTGAATCCAGAAAGCAAGGATGACAGAAATCCACAGAAGTGGGCTCTAGCACGAGCTATTAGCTATGGCAATTAAGTGAATACTGCTGCTCTGAATGTTTGCCCACCAACTTTTTTTGAAGGGTACATGGGGAGATTTTGTGCAGACCAAATTGCTCCCCCTTCAAACAGTATCTTTTGCGCTGCTATTGACAGCTGTCGCATCCCTTCTTATCTGCTGTTTTGACATTTCCCTCTCTGGTTCCTGCCCTTCTTTCTCCTTCTTCAAGAGATCCCAGCCAGTCAGGGACCACCAAACTGTGTTGATGCTACAGGGCCACATACCGTATTTTTCGCTCTATAGGACACACTTTTTCCCCTCCAAAAATTAAGGGGAAATGTGTGTGCGTCCTATGGAGCGAATGCAGACTCCTTGGCTTCAGCAATAGCAACGCGAAGCCTCCGAAGCGCAGAGGGAGCGCTCCCTCCACGCTCCAGAGACTTCGAGTTGCTTTCACTGAAGCCTGGGGAGCGAGAGGGGATAGCCGCCTGAAGCCTTTCGAGCACAGCGGGACCTCACGCTGCGTTCCAAAGGCTTCAGGTTCCTTTTGCTGAAGCCGGGAGAGCAAGACTCTCCTGGCTTCAGCAGAGAGGGAGCTGCGGCAGCGCCCTTCAGGAGGGAGGAGAAATGGAAGGGGCTCCGTTTCTCCTGCTGTTTTGCTGAAGGGGCGCTGAGCAGAGAGGGGAGAATTTTTTTTTCCCTGGTCTCCCCCTCCTATGGTCCGGTGCGTCCTATGGTCCGGTGCATCCTATAGAGCGAAAAATACGGTAGCTAGCAGGAGCTGAATGCATAATGAACTGTCATTAGGCCAAGGGAAATGGAAAGGGAGGGCAATGCTTCCTGCCCATATTATGATTAGCCAAATACTTTCACTTACTCCCCTTTTTGCAACCTGTCCCACCACCCCACACCACACACCACCACCCCAAAATGCCCAAAGCGATGATTGAGCAGCTGATAAAGGTACAGTATTTGCAAAAAGTTCCCCACCTGTCTCTTAGCTCACCCCTATAAATAGTAACCCTATGTTCAGAGGTTCCTTTTTAAAGCTGTCTAAGGATGCAGGGTGGCACTAGTGGTCCTAAACCACAGGGTCTAGGGCTTGCTGCTCAGTAAGGTCAGTGGTTCTAATCCCTGCTACAGGGTGAGCTCCCATTGCTTCAGTCCCGGCTCCTACCAACCTAGCAGTTCAAAAGCCATGTCAAGTCCTGCAAAGTTTGGCATTCAAGTGGTTTGGAAACAGAAGCTTTTTTTTTACGGTAGACTGGCCCTGTTCTGTCCCCTGATGCCTGAAAGCTCCTTTCATTACTTTAGTGACATCCTTTAGTGACATCCCACGACTTTGGAGAGGCAGTGTTAATATTTCCACTCACCAAGCGGAAGAGCACTCGAAAGATGAGGAATTGGATAAAAGCAAGATTCCCAGACCACCCTCTGCTTGCCTCTCCCCCACCCTTCCAGCTTTTAGGTCATCTAAGAAATAGGCTCCATAAATTCAAGGATTTGCTAGTGCTCAGGTTTTGCCTGCCTTTTCACCTTTGGCTCTGTGCAATTGCTTGTTATGGCATACAATATTAATAGAAGCCATTTAGATACTTTAACCTAAGGCTGCGAGGCTTTCAAACATCTCTTTAATACCATTGTCAGGTTTCGGGCATTTTGAATTACTCCTAAGTACCTGCTGTTAGCTGGCTAAATCTCATATCCCCACAATTACATGCATCTAGAATGATGATATTATGTATTCTATACTATTATCATTTTAAAGAGGGTCCTATGAGATACACATTCATCCTTTTCCCCATCTCTTCCTGTCTTTTTTGCTTATTCCATTTCTTTCCTCCTCTCCTCTTTCCCCCTTTATTAAATCTTCAAAGATAATACATGAATATAGAAAGGCATCCATCAGCGAAAAAGAAAGGGACAAGGAAGAAAAGAAACATTACATCATCTGCTCTACAATAAAATGATTGTGATGTAGTTCTTAACCAGTAAAATCCTCTCTCTCTCTCTTCCTTTGCCCCATTCCATCTCACAGATTTCCCTACTGTGCGAATTTATCTCACCATTATGATAATATCTCAAACTCCTCTGAACTGTTCTATGAGAAGCTAGAGTAGAGGGTTGAGTTCCAGATCAGCTAACTACTACAGTATTAATATTAATAATAAAAAATTGTCCAGTAGCATCTTAGAGACTAAGTTTGTTCTAGGTATGAGCTTTCATGTGCATGCACACTTCTTCAGATACTCTGAAACAGAAGTCACTTGACCCTTATATATAGTGGGAGGGTGGGGTGGGGTTTTTCTCAGGAGGGTAGTAGGAGATGGGTGATTGACTCACTGGGTATGGTAAACCTGTTGACAACTGTTAACGACTGCAATTAGTCCTACAGGAAAAAGCAAGGGATAGTATGCAGATGACCAAAACCAGCTTTAGCATGTATAATGAGACACGAATCCCATATCTCAGGTCTCTCCATAGTTTTCAGTTTAGTAATAACTTGTAATTCAGCAACTACTCTTTCAAGTCTATTTCTGAAATTCTTTTGTAATAAGACAGCTGCTTTGAGATCCTGTATTGAATGTCCTGGGAAATTGAAGTGTTCTCCTACAGGCTTCTCTGTCTTGTGATTCCTGATGTCAGGTTTATGTCCATTTATCCTTTGGCGTAGGGTTTGGCCTGTTTTGATTTACTGCCTGTTATTCGATTGTGGGCTTAACAATGTAAGAAGAATTTGCTGGATCAAGCCAATAGCCCACTTGTCCTCACAGTGGTCAGGAAACTGGCAAGCATTACCTAGGCACAAGGGCACCCTCCCTTCCTGCAGTTCCCAGCAACTTGCATACAAGAGCATTACTGTCTCTGACCATGGAGGCAGCGCATAACCATCATGGCTAGTAGCCATTGATAGCCTTCTCCCACGTGAATTTTCCCAACCCTCTTTTAAACCCATCCAAATTGGTAGCCATTACTGCCTCTAGTGGGAGAGAGTTTCATAGCTGAACTATGAGCTGCATGAAAAAGTACATTCTTGTATCAGTCCCAAATCTCCCAACATTCAGCTTCATTGAAAGTCTAAGAGTTCTGGTCTTATGAGAGACGCAGAAAAGCTTTTCTCTCTTTACTCTCTCCATGCTGTGCATATTTTTTATTACACTCATCTAAGATGCTGCATCATTTTCTCCAAACTAAAAAGTTGCAGATTCTGTGACCTTTCCTCACAGGAAAGTTACTCCGTCCCCTTGATCATTTGGGCTGCCCTGGACTGAAACTTTCCCAACCCTACAATAGGGTCAGATATTTCCAGCTGTTCTCTGATGTCAAGAACGATCAAGCGA